TATTTGCTGATACTACAAAAGAACAAGAGAACACCCACGGTAAGCTAAAACATAAACAAGCACTAAGTGAGACACTCACCAGAGAAGCAGTTTATCAAGTAGCGTTAAATGTGAGAGATGAAAAAAACAAGGATAAGTCGCTTTCACAGGTGGTCCCCAAGGGCTTAGGAAGAATCATGCACAGTTTTTTGTACGCACAAAAACCTCTGAAACGACAAAGTCCTCAGCAAGTATCATGCAAACATCAGTTTCTGTCAAACAATCTCTATCGCTCAAAAAGCAGACACAAGTCTCTTAAACACAGCCCTCAAGAAATGTCACGCAGTCATCGAGTTTTGTAACACAGTCTTTAACGTCGGTCACACATGGCTTTCAGTTCTCAACACCAAAGGTGATCATGTATACCATTTTTATCTTCATACAGGATGTCGCCCAGTATCCAGACACTTCAGTTTAGCATCGCAATAACTTTCCTTTGTTAGTCCCAAGAGCTCTGAAATTTGGCCCAGAGAAAGTCTATTTAGTCCTTAATATGAAGAAAGACAGTGGTTTGCTACCTCAATTAACCAATCTGCCAACAACTTTTTTTCTTCATTTATATTTTTAAAAAAAAGCTTGGGGAAGGGACCTCAATGCAAGGGTCAACGGTCACTCTTCCATTTAGTCTGACCTACAGTGTTGATTTCTTCATGCTCAGTCCCTACAGACCCTACACTAATTCCTCCTACTTTCACATCTCTCAATCCTGTTGTGACATTTTTCAGACCGTTGCAACCCCATTCTAGCAGTCACAACTGGGGAAAGTATGAGAATTCCAGGTTCAACTCCAATGATTTTGGTTATGCAGTCACGCGAAACAAGCAGCGCACACAAAATCAAGTTGCCTCCGAATGAGTGAAGAAAATGTCCATACGGAGTTGACTAGAATTACATTATACAACTATATCGCAAATCCTAAGCTTTAATTATAGTTATAGATGTGGAATAGATCTCATCCAGATAATGTACACAGCTAATTCATTGATTCTGAACAGCAAAGACAAAACTGTCCGGATACTAGGCACCTGACATCAATACTTCGTGAATGTTTCTGGGATCCGTTATTCCAAACAAATCGAATTTCAAGAAGAATTAATAAACGTTCTGAGAACCTGATTTCTTAAAGTATCTTCACTTCAAATATAAACCGTTTCTTTGAAAATATCACATATTACCTACCCTTTTCTGAGCAGCACTAATTTTACTGCACAGTAAACAGCGTAAATATTAGCCATGAAATGTTTATTGACCTGAACAGAACGGGGTCTTCTGTGTCTGTTTCGCAAGCTTTCAACTCTACAAAACCTTCATCTTAAAGCCGAAATGTTCAGCTTTCGTTCGAAATACTTCGTTTACCGATAACTGAAAAGGGCCCCTCAAAAATTGAGTTTTTGTTTTAAGTGCCCGGATACTGGGCAACATACTGTACTCGATTCCAAGTTTCATGTGCTTTTTTTTTTGGACGGCGGTATGAATAAAAAATGTCATGTAGAAAATGCGAGGGGTGCTTTTTACATAGTTCCTTGACTGCTTTTCAGCAATAATTGTTTTCCAACATCTGTAAACAGTTGGTTCTGTGCTTATTTTAACAGACAGCATTCTTGAAAAAAAACAAAAAACATGTTTGAATGAGGATGGATGATCCTCTGTTAACTGACATAGAAACCCGCATATAAGAACAAATGGATTGAGAAAATCAGACTGAAATTTGGCCCCTAAAGCACCATATATATTAGAACCAGTTCAGTCTGATAAGTTAACCAAGTTATTATAGAATAAGGGACAGAGTGACAGAATAAGAAAGCAATGTAATTATAGTTGCTGCTAGACAATTACAAAACTATAACAGTTGCCTGTTTGTCTAGGATTATTGTTTGCTTACTTAATTATTCATGATAAAAATATGCTAACTAAACCTCTACTAACATGTTATGTGTAACATTTCTGAAACGAAGTTTAAGAACATATTAAGAACATCTTTACGCTGATTTCTCACTAAGCACCCAATAAATATGAACTAGATCAGCCTGAACCCGAAATCATGTGTTCTCATATGCGGGTGTTTACGGTACGGCATTTACACTGATAGTTTCTCATTTTTGTTCTATGCAGGAGATTGCCTGACAGTAACATAGCAACGAAGATATATGTACCACTACTGCCAGTGATCAT